AATGTCGTGAAGCGAGTCGACCAAGTCGCAGCTGGGCTCTGCCACTTGTGTGATTGTGGCCCTGACACTTTGCCGTTTGAACGGTTTGCGACCAGACGACCTGATTGGCTACCGACTATGAACGCCACCTGCCCCTTTCAAGAAACACCAGCAGCAGCAAGAATTCCGCATCCTGTTGGAAGGCTCGCTGAAAGTTTTCATTTCGATCTCTTTCACTGCTGGCACTTGGGAGTGGGGAGAAACTTTTCCGGCACGGCACTTGTTTTGCTAAGCGACCTGCAGCGAGGCAACGTTGACGAGCGCTTCGATGCAGTGACAAACATGTACAAACAATGGTGCCGACAGAGTGGTCACTCACCGATTATCAGCCGCATCCACAAGGACAACATAGGATGGACAGCGACTTCCGAATATCCGAGTGGGACGTGGTTCAAAGGTGGTGTCACGACCAACATGGTGCTTTTTTTCGAAAGTTGCAATGGTATGTGCGACGAGGCGCTTTTTCGAATCGCCATGCAGGCGGCTCAGGCGATCAACGAGTTCTTCCGGCTTCTGTTTTCTTCCGATGTGTGGCTGGCTCCTGAGGTATCCACCCGAGCTTCGCAGCTTTTATTCCGGTTTCTCCGGAGATATAAAGCAGGCGCAGAAGTCTCATTTCGCGAATCCCGGACTTTGTTCGTGCTGCAGCCGAAACTGCACCCACTGCAGCATATCGCTGTAAAGCTCTGGCAGCTTGGGAATGCAAACAAGGATTGCCTCAACCCGCTGGTGCACTCGACCCAGTTATCCGAAGACTTTGTTGGAAGACAATCAAGGCTAAGCCGACGTGTTGCGCCACAACGAGTTATCCGCCGTGTCATAGAGCGGTACTTGGTGTCGGCTCATGCGCAGTATGTGCAGTGTGGGTACATCGTGCCGAGGAAGTGAAAAAAAGACATTCCGCGATTTCGAATTCAGATTCTTCAGATTTGATTGCACCGATTCTTCAGCCTTAAGCAATTTGCCCCCATTGCAGCATCAGAAGCATCAGAAGGTGAATCACAAGCACGAGATGAACACACCGTTTTCTGAGAACCTGGTTCTGTCTACTGGAACCCGTGTTTCAGATGCCACCCGACTATTTAAACGTGTCTAGTGGGTCTAGGTATGGTACTGTACTACAACTATACTACTACAAGGTACCATACGCTACTACTGATACTGTCTTACACTAGATAAGACCGCACAATACTATATTACACGAGAAAGAACCCTACAATTCGATACTATAACTACAGTGTTTATACTATGTAGTAGTCTAGTATACGGTACTACGGTTGATGATATAGATCCTGCATTATACCCACAATTAGGAATATTCCATAATTCCCATCGTTTAGGGTCCTTAAGGTAATGCAGGATTTATATCATCAAACCCTAAAGAACCCCTAAACCCCAAACCCTACACCCCAAACCCTAAACCCTAAACCCCAAACCCTACACCCCAAACCCTAAACCCTAAACCCCAAACGCTAAGCCTAAATTCTATTGCTATACTACTTCAGTCGACCCCAAGGACTTGGCGTGGACCTGCCGAGAGGCTGCACCCTTTCAGGCGCGCATCGGCCGTGCGTCCTCCGAGACACAAGTTTAGGGTTTGGGGTTCAGGGTCCAGGGTCTAGGCTTTAGGGTTCAAAGTTTAGTTTAGGGGTCTAGATTTCAGGGTTTCATAGGGGGATTGAAGTTTTTGAGCCTTAATCTGCGGGTCTTGGGGCCATGTTTTCCAAGACTCCCAGCTCCTCATAAGGCCTCTCTGAAGATATGAGGCCAGAACACTCCGGAGACTTCGAAACACCGGAGCATCACCCCCCGAGAAATCTACCCTGCCAAAGGCAGCGAGCTGGACGGGCGCAGTGCACCTGATTCATAGTCGCAAGAGCATACAATGGCAAGTAGCATCCCATCCTTGATGTTAAGAATACTGCTTCACTTGCTCTATTCCTAGCTTCTGACTTTCGACTATATCAACACGAGGTTGTTTGATTCGTCTCGTTGCATGCGCTAGTCCTCTCAATCGCAACATCACATTTCATATATGCTACCTACAGCCCCCACACACGCACACACACACATATATATATATATACCTCGGGTTTTTCTCTTATGTTATGCTCGTCTCCTGTGCTACGCTACTGTCTTATTACTGCGATTGATCTTGCTTCTGGCGTTGGTCGTGCTGCTGCTTAGCTTCTTCGGCTCTACCATCGCTGCCGGTGGCCAGCAACGAATACTATGTTGCTGTTGTAACACCATCACCACCACCACCACCACCACCACCACCACCCCCACCCAACAACAACAACAACTACCACTACTACTACTCCTCCTCCTCCTGCTGCTGCTACTACTACTACTACTACTTCTTCTTCGCACAGGTTTGGGTCGAGTACGACGCACCTCTAGCAATTGAATTCTGGTGAAACTGACTGAAAAAGCGGCGAGGTCTGGACTCATGAAGAGACCAGACCGTCAGCCGTCTTGATCATTCCTCCTTTGCACAACCAGGAGGTGAAAGGCTCCAGTCCCCTCAGCGCTGCCCCCGACGCGGAAATGCGAACCGGGGCGCTTGCTGCGGTTTGGACCGCCGCCACAACGACCTCAATAGAAGCCTCAAGCCAATCGATTTGTCGCGAAGCAGGCGCGAGTGGCGCGCTGCAGTCGAAAGGGTAGACAAATGAAGGCAGGGGTGGCTCCTCTACAGAGAAGGAAGCAGCGGCCCCATGCGAGGCAAGAGGCAGGGCAAGTCCAGCCGGAAAGGTAAGGGGTGCCAGAAAATCCACCTTCGGGGAGGGCTGCTTGGGCCTATGGAAGACCTCGCAACAGACCTCAGGGTCGAGCAGGAGGATCATGTTACCTGCTACATCTGCCGCGAAGGACTGGGCCTGAGGGTGATCCTTCCATGCGGAAACAGTGCAGCGGAGGTGTTCAATGGGGGCAATGAAGTCCTGAATAGCCTCCCATGCCTTATCGTCGGCGGAGTCATCGAGACCTAGAAGGGCCTCCAGCAGTGCGGGGTGGCAAGTGCCGGAAGATGGGCCCTCCTCATCGGCTGTCACATCATGCAGGCCTGGAAGCTGCATCGGTGGTGCTGATGGGTGCAGAGGGTCTTTAGGCGGCGGGCCAGCAGGGTGAAAGGTGCCCCAACGCCGTTGGCACTCTTGAGTGACAAAGACGTGCCTTTTCATGCGGCTGGCATTGGCGAAAAGCTTCCCACACCCGCTGCACCAGGCCCGTTCGACACCCCTTGTAAGCTCCGTGGCCCTCGTCCGGTAGCCGTGGAGCCTGCTCGCATGACAGGCCCATGAGACCCTATCCACAAAGGCTTTACGGCACGGTAGGCAAGCTTCAGAAAACCTGACCGCTGTCTCTGGCTCTCGTTGCTCATCAGGGCAAAAGGAAGTCAGAAAACGTCGACAGGACTGGAAAGCCGCAAAGGCCCGCAAGCGCAGGGCTTCCAGGGAAGACGCCCGCTTAATCCATCCTCGGAAACGGCCCGGTGACGCACACATGACCTGGCTCCAATCAGGCCACGAGTGGAGGGGATCCGGTAACGGGACAGTGGCAGAAATGCGGCGGTAAAGCCATCTCAAGGCTGCACGCAGTTCCCCGATGTAGGAAGCATCCTGTCGAACCAGGGCCCACACAGCGTCCGGGGCGGCCTGAACGAGTTGTCTGAGGTACCTCAAACGCTCGACCTGTAGGAGGGTCTGCGGATCTGCAAGGCGGAGAAGTGCACAGGTGGTTGCTCCTGAAATGTGCTGGTCTTCGCCGCGTGGTACACACAAGGTTTGTCTGTACAGCGACATGACAGTACGCTGGAAGAGCTGAGCTTCTCCGCGTTTCAGACACGGCCAGGCACCCGCTCCGAACAGGAGTCGTGGTAACACCATGGAAGCGAGAAGGGTTCCTCTTCTTGAGACTGAGATGCGTCGACAGCGGTAGGCACGGAGCTTGCCTTGCCTGAAGGAGGCCCATGCGGCGGCGCATCGGGCGCGCAACTCTGGCAGGAAAGACGCGCCTACCAAGACCCCCAAGTGCTTATAAGAGCAAACAAGTGGGAGGGCAGCAGCAACTTCCGTTTCTCGGAGAACTGGGAGGGTCGCCTTGCCCTGAAAGAGAGCACGCTTGGCCGATCGTGACCCCTCCCCGATCAAAAGGACATGTGCGGCTGTCTTGGAGGGCCCGTATAGCCCTGTGAGGCAAAGGCCTCATCAAGGATGGAAGCTTCCAGTGACACCTGGTGCGCAGCCTTGTGGGGAGTGGACAACATGAAACACTCAGCAAGGTCATCAGCCCAAATAACGTCACTCAGTGGCGAGGTAGCCGTGGCTCTATGCAGCTGGGACAGAGCTCGGCGCCCGTCCCATGGCACTTGAGGCGTGCGACCGGCATCAGTCGACTGAGCCCGCAGGGCATCACGTGTCGCAATGATTTGGGCGACCCCGGCGCTATACATGATGTCCGCCAAGGACGAGCCTGGACGTGACCCGCGGCGGGTTGTCACGGGGACGTGATCCCCGCGCAGGGTAAACCAGGACCCCCGGTGCATTTCCGATGCTAACGATTCTAGCCAAGCTGGGGCCCCAGCGGCCTCGAAGGCACTAGGGCCTTGGAGGGCTGCAAGCAAACCTTCATGAGCAGTGGCACCTTCCGGCAGGGCGTATGTGGAGACCGAGCATCCTTGGGCGTCCACTCTTCTAGCCGTGAGATCCCTGACCGAATTATAATAGGCGGAAGCGACGTCCGCAAAGAGGACACAGGCAGGCAGCTGGTTGGTGGTGGCCCATTTGCAGAAGAGGCGTATGGCATGACTTCCAAAGACAGCTGAAGCCCCTTTTTTGCCTCCCAACAGGAGTGGCGGCGCATGACTCATGACATGGTCGTACAGACATGGTCTGTAGGCTCGGTGTAACACTTTCGTGAGGGTGGGGAGGAGCATTATAGCTCGGTATGATGAGCAGACGTTCTTCGCCCCCCGGGTGCTTGTATAGCCACGTAAGAAGGGCTCCCTTCAGGCCGGCCGCTTCTTCCCCGAGGAGTCCGAGCTTGTATACCAGGGGCAGAACGAGTGGTGTCAACAGAGCTGGGGCCGCCTTGAATAGTTCCCCTGGAACGCCATCTGGGCCGCATGCCTTGTGGCTTTTGAGCGAAGCCATGGCTCGAGATACTGCACTGGGTCCTGGCAGAAAGGAAACGGCCGTAGGTGGCATCCAGTTGAGGCTGTGCCCAGCAACTGTGGTGGCGATAACGCCTTCCGGGGACTGTTCGATGCCTGCCTCCATTTGACCGAAATAACCCCTCCACCGCGGGAGGGCCTCCCCAGGGGTCTGACAAACGTCTCCTTGTTCGTCAAGAATTTCCGGGAGCACATCAGGGGAGAAGGGCTTTTTCTGCCGAAGGCCCAAGAGCTTATTCAAGGCCTGGTGCGAGCCTGGACAGTTAGCCTGGACCTCATCTGCCAGTGTGGAGAGGTACTTGGCTCGGTCATGCTTGCACGCCTGTCTTAGGTTCTGCGCCAGTGAACGCAGCTGGGTAGACTGCGCTTGTCCCCAGGTGGCAGCTTGGAGAGCCCACTGCGAACACAGTGCAGTGTGCAGGATTTCGGCATCCCGAGCAGCCCAAGCGCGAAAGGCAGCAACAAGGAGATGCATGCGGCAGTGCTTGCGCAGTCTGGCACATCTCTTTCGTAGTGCTGCAACTTGGCCGCGCAGCGTCCAAGTTTCATCGGAAATGTAAGTCTGTCTGGGTCGCCCCTTAGCTGGGGCAAAAGTCTCCGAGAGCTCCTTCTGCAAGTAGCCCACGAGCAGGGCTGCATGCGCATCAGCTGTCACATTCCAGGGAATCTTGGGAGCAGCTGAGAGGATTCGTTGAAGGTGAGGCCTGTTGGCTGGATCGATGAGGGCGGCGGCGTCAATACGGGCTAGATTCAGCCGGTTGCCCCCCTTTCCAACCTTTATCCTGGCTTGCACGCGAACAACAGTGGCAAGGTGGTCAATATAGGGCTGCCCGACATGCAAACTTGGGTCTACCCAGGAAGTAACCTTGGCCTCACGCCAGCAATCCGGGAGGCACACCATGTCGGGTCGCGTGAGAGCTTGGTTGCGCTTCTGCACATAAGTCCAGCTTTGTCCTGAATGGCATTGATCCCAGGTGGCCGGGATCCAAGCGTTGCAGGAGCTCACTATAGCTCATGCAGGAAAGCTCCTGCATCGTCTTCGTCTTCGGGACCACAGTCCCCAACTCTATCACAACAGATAGAGCCGACAGAAGCATTGAAGTCTCCTCCAAGCACAACAGGAGACTGGGCAGCTGCCTTTTTTTAACAGCACAAGTGTTTGGGCCCACCAGGAGTGGAGCTGGTTTGCCTCCGTTCCACGGTGCGGTGCATGCAAGGATGCAAAGCAGAGGCGCAAGGAGCCGGAGCTGAAGAAGAGAATCAACCGACGAGGGTCGCGGTGAATGGCAGTGAAAGCCTCCTTCTTGAAGACAAAGCCAGTGCTTTGACGATCAGGGGAAGGTACAACAGCGTACCCCTCCCGAAACCAAAGCTCAACCCCTAAACAGCCACCCTCGTGCCCGGAGCAAAATCGGAGAAAGCCCGATGTGCGTAGGAAGCCAGGCTCGGTGCGCGCCTCCTGGACCGCAATTGCATGGATCCCGGCGGCATCAAGACACTGAGCTAACATGGCGGGCCTGCCGGCCACAAAGGCAAGTCCTCCTGGCTGCCTGTCTGCAAAAGCCTGGCCACACAGCGACAGGACATTGTATGTCGCGAAGCAAAGGTGGAGCGACCCGGACTGTTCGTGCACGTCACCCGTTGGCAAAGTAGGTCGAAAAGGGGACAGCATTTGGTGTGCTGAAAGACCACAGTCAGTTCGATCTCTTACAGCAGTCCCGTGTACCGGAGGTAGGGTTTGATCGCCAAAAAGGCTGCGCATCGCGACTCCACACCACTCAACCGCACTGGCTTGGTTCGCCCACCAGTTGAAGGAATCTCTGCCAGTCCAGGAGAGACGGCCAACGGTATGCCCCTGGGAGGCCAGCTTCGCCGAAATATCCGCAACTTCGTTGCCGAACTAGCCTTGGTGGCCTGGAACATAGCAGAGGGCCAATGGAACACCAAGGAAGGCCTCAACGCAAGACATTGTGCGCCTTAGAACAAGAGCGGCATCGTTGGCGAGAGATGCTGCCGCGCCGGAGGCAACTTGGATGGCAGCCTGGCAATCGGAGAAGTACGTAATCGATCGACCGAAAAAGGCCGTGCTCCCAATCCAGGCTGCAGCGGTCATCGCAATGCATTCTGCGATGAAGGCAGAGGGTTGCATGTCAGATTGCGCATACCATTCTGGCCCAAGGCCAGAGACGATGCTAATGCGACTCTGATCTGGAGCAATGAAAACGCAGGACCACCCAATCAACGCAGGGCGTTCGTGTACGGCTGGAGTGTAGGACCCATCGACAAAACACAACAGGGAGGGGCTTGCGGGCCTTTCAAAGGTGGCTCCTTGAAGCGGCTTCCTGAGCTTTGGCGGGATAATTGCAAGCAGGTCGCCGAGGGTCCCGAATCGGACTAGCGGTTGGAGGAATGCCGCTGCTTGCTGTGCGGTAAAGCCAAGATCAGCTCCACCAAGTTGCAGTCGCTCATGCAAAGCTACACCTCCCTGAGAAAGTACGTCAACGGGCCAGGGTGTTGGCTGCACAAGGGTAGCAGAAATCGGATCCTCAGGGAGGACTGTCTCCAAAGAAAGTGTTACTGCTGAGGAAGGGGCAGGCATCTGTTGGCCATGCTCAATCACAGCCTCGAGGAGTGTAGCAGCGAGGTAAAGCGGGTAATCCTGGCTGCTGGCTCGACTCTCCTCAAGCAGGGTAACGAGCTCGAAAGCTTGAAAACCATCCTTCTGGTGCACACAAGGAGGGTGGGCTTCAGCATTGGCTAGGCCATTGGGGCATGCCGTCTCACACGGCAAAACCCAGGCTCTGGCAGGCGTGGGAATCGGTCTGAGACAGGGAGGTGGCTGGCCGAGACCGGCGGGCTTAAGGCGTAAGTTCCCCTCAAGGCGCACAGGAAACTGTCCATCGACCAGGGTTCCGACACCAAGGCTAGGACTATTGCGCTGAACTTGCACCGCCTCTGTCAACTGGGTTTGGGCAACCGCCACCGCGAAAATGAACCACGGCGCCGAAGGCGAGGCGGCGAAGACACAGGCTAGCAGCCCAACAAAGCCGAAAAGTAAAGTTTCCCCAAGAAAGAGACGCACCCTGTGAGTCTGGTCTCGCCGAGTGTGGCCATCGGCTGGGGAGGAAGAGCAAGAGCTGCCAGTCCCAGCGTCAGGGCTGCCAGGGCCGTCGAAGCCCGTAGCTGGGTCATCGGTCGAGCTAGCTGGCCGGTCACGGCCGTGTGGCCGCTCGTCTCGTGGAGGACCAAGTCCATCATCATCGGGACCCTGAGCAGGGGTCCTGGGCGGTGTCCTTTCCGGAAGGTATACGGCTGTGATCACAGCTCCGTCCTGTACTGGGAAAGCTGGGCCTGGGTAGGCCACAACCTGCGTGCCCAGCCAGACATGCGGCCGGAATCCTTGAGGGCAACGTGCACCAATCCGGTTGATGAGCCCTGGCAAGTCAAAATAGCCCCCATGACACGTGACAACAGAGAGACCTCGGAGAATGGGTCGGAGGTCGACGAAGCAAAAGGGGTCTCTGACTGCTGCATAATGCTGACCGTCGCGGGTTCTGGTGGCATACAGCACGCTGCACGTTACCCACCCCCGGTTGGAGAAGTCAGAAATGCGGGGCTGAGGGGGGCGCAGGATCAGCTCGTCTGCTGGGACTCGAAGCCGGAGGGCGACGTCTTGTCTGACATACCTGCGCCTGTTACTGGAGACATGCTGGAGGAAGGGTCTGTCATCATTGATGACTCAAGTATCATCCAAGTTCCAACCGGAGAAAGCCCTCGTGAAGGAAACATCCTGATGCCACCCTTGCGTAGATTGGAGCATGTCCGCAAAGGAAGCAACAATTGCATGCCCTCGTCCTGTGAAGGTAACCTGTATTAGATCACCTTGCCTCACATCAACGAGGGTGGCTGCTGGAGCGGGCCAGGGCATGTTGCCCACAAAGACCTCAAAACGTGGGTCGTTAGGCAACTCGGCTGCTTGCAGCAGGCCTTCCCTGGTAACTCGGTTCCCAATTTGCAGGGCGAACAGCCGCCCGTCGACATTGGTTAAGTCGAAGGCGGCAACAACGCCGTCGGGGGCCCACAGGGGAAGGGCCAATAGGATGGCTTGTGAGCCTAGAGGCTGCGGATCAACCGCACAAAGGACGGGGAACCGCTCACGATCTCTGCTGGCTCTTGCACGAGATGCATAGAGGAGCGCCACTGCCGGTTGAGTAGCTACCGGCATCCGCGCTTCGACAAGCTCTGCCGTGTAGTCTTGCGCAAGGACAAGGAAGACACCATACAGCTCTGGGTTCTGAGCGGTGGAGTTCCCAGGCTGCTCATACTCGACACGGCCCCGGTTGCTGTTGGCTGCAGCGCCGTCGTCGTCCTGGTCCCGTTCTGCGGTGTCCGCCGGTGGGGACGATCCGCCCAAAGTATTCGTGACATCATCGCCTAGATGGTTGGTCCCCTCAGGAGCATTGGCTGGGGCCTCCTCAGGTGTTTCAGTGGGGGCGGGATCAGGCACATAATCGACAACAACCACCAGCCCGTGTTCAAAGGCAGGCCTGCCATCAGGGTGGTGGTCAGTGCTGAAGCGTGGCATCCAACCTCGGGGTGCTTCAGAGGCGAAAATACGCTGCAATCCCGGAACATCAGGTTCCGAGTCAAAGAGCCGAAGAAAGGCGAAACCTCCTTGGATGGGGCGTTGATCAAGGAAGAAACCAGATGGCTCACCCGAGAGGCTCGATGGAGGGTCCTGGCATGCTGCGATTAAGTTTCGACAGCGCACCCCATCGATTGAGATATTGCTTGGTGCGCGGCGTGCGGGAAGTGTGCGCAGCCCCCTTTCATCGACGCCAAGCCTGCGCGCAAGATTAACCCGAAATCGGAAGGGATTCTGATAGTTTTCAATATGAAGGACGCGTCTACCTTCATGCACGACACAATACGCGAAGTCAATCTCGACTTGTGGGAAAGGAGCATCGTGGCTCCAAGCATCGGGCAGAAAGAGGGTTCTTGCTAGCGGAAGACCGATTGGCGGTGCCTGGTCTGCAAAAGTGATGCACACTTGGATACCTGCGACCAGGTGGATCTGGGCTTCTTCGAGAATCGGCTGGTCGTCGCCACCGACAAAAACATGGTAATCAGCCTGTGGCGGCAAATTTGCCATTGCAACCAGAGTATCAAAGTCAGCATAATCCGGGGCATTGCAGGCAAAAACACGGCCATCAATGGCGCTCGTGTTGATCAGGACTGTTTGGGCCGATGGTGCCCACCTTGGTGTGGCCAAGACGACTGCAAAACCGACAATCGACTGAGGAGAAGCTGGGATCAAGAAGGGGAAGCGCACATATGACGGTGTGGGGCGCGCGGCCTGTATGGCCTGAATCGCCTCGTCTGGTGTACATGGCAATTCTAGATCGACTTCCCCGAGCTCGGGGGGGTAGTCTGGTGTCAGGACGGC